AATCATATGAGAGCTAGGGCCCCTAAATTTGCCTCTATTTTTTCCTTGAAGAATTTTTGTTTTATAGAAAAAATAAAATAAATTTTAACATCCAACTCAAATAAAAAGCAAAACAAAGAAAAGCATGAAGAAATTTATAAAGATAAAAACAGAAATGCATGAGTCAAAAAACAAATAAACAATGGAATTAATAAACTCTAAAGCTGATACTTTAAAAAGATCTACAAAATAGACCAGGTGTTCAGTTCATCAAAGCAATCAAGAAAAAAGAGAAATAAAAACTCACAAATTTCACTGACAAGGAAGAAAATAACTATCAAAATAGGAGTGTTTTAAAATCATAAGAAATTACACAAAATCATGAGACAACTATATAAATACATTGAAAATCTAGATAAGACAGATTTTTTTAAGACAGAACAACATAACAAAATTGATTCTAATAGAGAGAAAAAATCTAAGGAAACATAAAAGAAACAGAGAGACTAGCAAAAGAATTCTGCCACAGAGAAGCGTTGAAGTCACAAGAAAATTCTGCCAAGACTTTAAAATTTTTAAAAACTTAGGTGATCCCAATACTACTTAAACAATTCCAGAGCGTAGGAAAAAAAGGATGACTTCTAAACTTGTTTTATAAAGAGAGTGTAACATTGAACCTACAGTCTGACAAAGATTATACCAGCATACAATACTACAAATCAGTAACACTTATGACTATTGATGCAAAAATCTTAAAATATTAACAAAAGAATCACATCTACACATAAAAAATAAGGCATCATGCCCAAGTGCGGTTTATTCCAGAATGTAAAAGTTGTTCAATATAAGGAACTTCATTAATAAAATGCATCATACTAAAAAACTAATAAATAAAACTACATACTCCACTTATGATAAAGATATCTGACAATATCTAACACATCCAATACCCATTGATGCTATAAATATTTAAAAAAAAGAAATTGATGCATACTTTCTTAACATGATAGATATTCACATGTACATGTACATATATTTATGTGCATATGTATGTGTGGTATATATACACACATATTTGTGTCCATGCCTGTGTGTGTGTGCATGTGTGTGGGTTTAATTCCATCCAAAAGCTAGCATCTTACTTACTGACGAAACAACAGAAAGTCAGAAACAAAAGACTAACATCCATAACTCCAATACTACTTAATGCTGTTTTGGAAGTATTAGCCAATAGTGCATCAAAAAAAAAAAAAAAAAAATCACATTGCAAGAAATTGAAAGGAAGGGGTAAAACATCTATTGGCCAATGACAAGATTATCTATCTGGAAAATCAAAAAGATCACCAAACCATGTGACAACAGGGAAGCTTCTCAGAGACTCAGTTGCTCAGGGAATTAAGATTTCCACTGGGAGAGGGCTCATGGAAGCTTGCACCTGGTCTCCTACAGACTTTACCCCATGTGCCTTTCCCTTGGCTGGTTTTGCTTTGTGTTCCTTCCCTGTAATAAATCCTAACCATGAATACCGTAATACACTGAATCCTGTAAGTCTTCCTAGCAAATCATCCCAAACACAGGCAGACTTGGGGCTTCAGACATACTCAAATATATGAATTAACTTCTAAAAACCAAGAAGACCAAAAACCCAAATAAAAATAGGCTAGGGAAATGGACAGGAAAAAAAAAAAATGCATGTAGCTCTTAACCATGAGAAAAGATGCTCATCTCCCCACATATAAATATTAAAAGATCAAATTAAAACTATACTAAGATACAATTTCTTACTTCTTAGGTAAAAATAAAGGAGCTCTAGGAGCTCTGGTAGCATAGAGGCTAAGGCACTTGACTGCTAAGCAGAAGGCTGGTGGTTCAAACCCGCCAGCCACTCCCCAGAAGGAAGATGGGGCAATCTACTTCCGTAGTGATACTGCCTCGGAAACCCAAGGAGGGGTCCCTATGAGTCGGGTCTGACTGGATGGCACATAACAACAACAACAACAGTGGCGTAGTAGGAGCTCTGGTGGTATAGTGCCTAAGGCATTTGACTGCTAACCAGAAGGCTTGCAGTTCAAACTCACCAGCCACTCCTCGGAAGGAAGGTTGAACAATCTACTTCCGTAGTGATACGACCTCGGAAACCCAAGGAGGGGTCACTATGAGTCAGGTTCGACTTCGAATTTGGTTTTGGTTTGGTGGCATAGTGCCTAAAGCATTTGACTGCTAACCAGAAAGGTGGCAGTTCAAACCCACCAGCCACACCTAACAATAAAATGTTAATAGTTGGTGACTCTGGATGAACAGCATAAAGTGGGTTTTTGTTTTATTCTGTTTTTTGTACTTTTCTGGCAGCTCTTCAGTAGATTTGAAATTCAAAATAAATTAAAAATGCAAAAATATGCATTAAGAAATTTGGTTAAGATACAGGTTGACCGGTAGTTGTAAAACAGTGCCTGAAAGCTATGTAGCCTAGTTACTCCTTTAAATAGGCAAGCTTTATCTATGAGTCAAGTAGATCATCCCTTGGTCCATATTATCCTGACTTCCAGCATATTGTGCTGAGTTGGCCCTTAGAGTTATTAGAGAATGCTAGGCTAGCAGTATGAAATTTATTTGATAAAAAATACTGCTCAGGACACTGTCTACAAAATCATCAGAGCCCACTATGTACAGTTCAAACTGAATTTTCCTTTTAGGATTTAGTACTAAAAAAAGCTTTCCACCTGAAAAAGAGTCCTTTCTTCCTGATGACAGAATTACATAATTGCCAATGTCTCTCTTATAATTTTGTCAGACAATAAGACTAATTTCAAATGTAAGACCCAATGGTAGAAACCACTAAACTCAAGTTTAGGGTGACTTTCCAGGCCCATTCTTTTCTTTGGACTGTTATTTTTATCTACATTTTATCACTTATTATCCTATTTTGTAAGGAGGGGTCGTTATGAGTCAGGTCTGACTTGATGGCACATAACAACAACAAGACAACAATTCTATTTTGAGGTAAAGCTCAATCCAGAAAACACTATTGTTGTTGTTGTTATGTGCCGTCAAGTCAGACCCGACTCATAGTGACCCCTCCCTCCTTGGGTTCCCGAGGTGGTATCACTACGGAAGTAGATTGCCCCATCTTCCTTCTGAGGAGTGGCTGGTGGGTTTGAACAACCAGCAGACTTCTGGTTAGCAGTCAAGTGCCTTAGGCACTACACTACCAGAGCTACTAGCATGATATTCTCAGTTATATTTCAGAGAGAACAAAATTATATTTGTCATTTACCTCAAAAGGTCAAAAATGAGCACTACATTTTAGATATTTATAACAAGAATGAGTAAGCTCCCCAGCTAACAAATATTCAAGGTCTGACAAATTCATGTGGGTATTACTTTATTGCTACTACCGAGAAATGCTTTATACATATTTCAATTCATTTTACAAGACTAGAATTAGAAAACCAAGATTCTTACATGCAAAGGTGGAAATAAAAAACACTTTTACCTGTTGTTCTCTTCACTCTTAACACAAGGGGGGGCACGAATCACAAGTGTTGACCATTGAGCTTATGGAGCCAGGATGGATATGAGTAAGGGAGTCAAATCTCTCAGGGGTTTAATTCTCAATAGTAATTCTGTCTTGTGTTTTGGGTAGCAAAGTAACTTCTTAAAATAGCCAAGCCACAAAATTTCTGCACAATGTGTATTCCAAAAACAATTAGCAGAAGCAAAGGGGCAGTATTTTTTGTTTTTTTTTCCCCAGTTTGTAACCACTTCTGGTAGCTTCAGCAGCAAAATGAAAGAATGATCAGAAGGAGATGGACTGTAGCAAACTGAAGAAGACACCCCCACAAGGTTGTCAAGGAAACCAAAACCAAGTACATTTTTCTACAGAAAAGAATCAAAGGTAAGGCGAACATGCAATGGAATATTTTGTGGTAAAGATGATTAAAATCCTTTCTTGAAAAATCTTTAAGAGGCTAAATTTAATTCCAGGCTATTTTATTAAGTACTTCATCCATAATACAGGCAGCAAGCTTGAATTTCCAAACCACCAGCACGGTGGATTTAGCAATCACATTTCCAAGATCAGCGAAGCTTGAGCTACTGAATGTACAAAAACTTCCCTTAGGTCTCTTGCAGATCGTAACATTAGGAGAAGCAACCACACCTCAAAAAGTTTAAAGAATAAAAACCTATTGCACAAACTAGCTTCCCCACATATAGACGTTCTGTTTTTCAAAATGGAGTCTTTTTAACCAAATCATTTTAAAGCTAAAAAGCTAATCTATGTAAATTAAAACAAGGGCTACCAAGAACTCATCTCCTCAGTGAGCCATTTGATACTGGAGAAGAGCAATGTGAGCAGTAAAAGAATCTCATGTTGGTAGGTCCATATAAATGTCTCCTTAAATAGGTGTGCAATGAGCAATAAAGTGCACTTGAGGGCACAGATTGAGAGTCAATCAAGAATGTCAGAGGCAAAGCCAGAAGTAACGTGAAAATAATCTGCAGAAATTTATAGCTAAATAAATTGGTACTCAGACAAAGGCGCGATGCTAGCGATAGGGGAGGATGAGTGGGGCTGGGAGTCTAGGGTATCCACCTTGACCCAGGGCACTGAGGAAGGTGTGGGAGGCTGAGACAATTAGGGCAGATCTGAGTGGGGCGCGATGACACTCCCTCCATTCTTTTCCCTTTCCTCAAGATAAGTGACCTTTTCGCGTGGCCCCAGAAATACACTGTATTTAAAGGAAGAATATTAGGGGGAAGAGGAGTTGTGCAGGGTGGAAGGAATGTCCCCGCCTGTCCCGGCACAGGTAGTTAGAGGGCATGAGACCAGGGTTAGAGGTGAGGAGGCGGGATGCCACCGGCTGCGGGGTCCGCGAGAGAAGCGACCGGGACGCGGCTGGATGCCTGGAAATGCCAGGAACCCTGAGGCTCAGGGATAGTCAAGGGGCTGGGACAGAGCGCCGAGGGGCAGGGACAGGGCGCGGGCGGCCGGAGGGGATGCGGACAGCGCGGGCTCTTACCCGGTGCCACAGTCCACCACGCAGGGAGGCAAGGAGCACGCCATGCTCGGGAGCCACGGGCGCGCTCCACTCGACCTCACTGGCGAGCGACCCAGAGCGCCCAGCCTCGACGCTCACCCTCACCTGCCCGCCCGTGGGGCCGCCGCTCCGCCGCTGGGGTACCCACCCGCAGCGCCGCGCCGCGGGCCCGGATGCACCGCGCATACCACGTGACACCCTCTGTTTTGACCGAGAGCGGCGCGGTGACGCCCCGCCCCCTCCTGGAGCCATCATTACTGCTGGCAGCGAGGCTTCTTTGCCCATACTCTCTGGAGGGGGGTGAACTTTGGGGCTGAAGAGATTGGTGTTTATTTTTAACTGACTTACGGTGAAGATGACCCCATTTTCGAGACCTGGCTCCTCCCATCCTTTAAGTCTCAGCTCAAATATCATCTCAGAATTATCCTTGATCACTCTAACAAGGTTCTCTCTTCACACTTCATTCTCTAGTTCAGCAATTTGTTGGTTTCATTCATAGCACTTAGAACAAACCTTTTGTATTTCTCCCGTTGTGCCATAATATATAGGCTCTGATAGGGAAGGGTCCATGTATTATTTTATTCACCACTGGTTACCTGGGCCTTAGCACAGTATTTGGTGCATATAGAGGAAGAAGCCACGTGTCTGTTGAACGAATAACTTTTACCGTAAGCAAAATAATTTGCTACTAGAATTATTATACCTAGCAGAACACTGAATAATAGCTTCTACTGAAGAAAAGTCTTTAAAGCATATGTATGGCTAACCTTAAGAAATTAATGACCTTAAGTTACCACCACACCACCTAACCAAGATCATTACTGGACTGTCTTCAAGTATCAAGACAGGATTACCATGCAAAAATTCTAACCTATACCAGGGACCAAAGTATACAAACATCTATCTACTATATTATGAGGGTACTGGAAGTCCAACTTGCTTTCTGCTCCCTGCCTTTCTTGATGTTAATTTTTAAGGAACTTGCTGGAGACATGTAGTTTCATGTAGCTTTAACTGATATTTAAAGCATTATGTCTATTTTCTAGGATCACTCCCATTATTATTCATTTTTTACCTAAAATAGTGAAATAAGACCTAGATCTAGAGCATTTTCAGGGGAACAGAAGAGAGAAGTAGAAGAGAAAAATGAAAGAGGAGATGTGTAGAAAATCACAAATATAGGACCCAAGACAGCAAACAAAAGATTGACTTGCCTACTTTGTGGTTTGACAAGACCTTACTCAGCTCCCACTTTATCACAGCAATGACCAGAAAGTGTTAGATAAACACTAGAATTACAGAGTGTTGGCTTGACACTCCCATGTCTTTCCTTTTCATTCAGTTATTTAATACATATTTACAAATGCCTACTATGAGTGAGGCACTGTATTAGACATGCAACAATAAGCTTGATGCTCACAATCTCAGCCCTCAAAACCTTGGTGTCTAGTGGGGGGACAGTGGCAATAGGCAGGCAACTGCAATAGTGCGTTAAGTGCTAAGTTAGGGCAAGTCTAGGGTGACCAGAAACCCATTAGAAGGGCACTAATCCTGACATGACAGTCAGTGAAAGCTTCTCAGAGCAATGGTATCTAAATTAAAACCCAGAGGGAAAATAGAGAATAGCTGGGTGGAGGAGAATGTGAAATGAGAGTGTTTCTGAATGAGAAACAACATGTATAAAAGCCAAGAAGGCCTCATGGATCATCAATGACCCAGTCCACTTCACCAGGGAAGAAACCTTTATAGGAACTAATTGCTGGCTAGTAAGATAGGATGTGGCTTTGTGGGAAGTATCCCTTTTGTAGAACTCGGTGGAAATGGTGGCCATAGTCAGCAATTGTCAAAGGTAAAAGATCAGGCCTCTGATTTCAATGATTTCCTCTAGACACCAATAACCCTTATTGTATCATTTAAGATTTTTGTTAATGCAGGTAATATAAAACCTAACCAAAGGTGGCTTCAGCCATGAGGACACTTTATTATCTCTTCTAATAGGAAATCCAGTAATTCCAAGATAATTCAACAACTCAATGACATCATCATGGACCTGTGCATTCTGTTCTACTAGCCTCAGCAGGTTGGCCTTTGTCCTCAAGGCCATCCCCTTGCAGATAGGAGATGGCTGAGGCAGCTCATGTACCACAACCACAAGGAGAAAGGCAGGTTTTGATCACCTTTCCATTTGTTTCACCTTTCTGGAAGTCCCCAGCAGCTTCTCTTCTTATTTCATTAACCAGCCTTTACCTAAACCAATCACTGGACAGGGGAACTGAAGTATTAAGATTGACTTAGACTACTGAAGACAATCCCTTCAGGCTGAAGAGGGGCTTCGTGTTCTCCAAAGTATACGGCTACTGATACCTGGTTTTGATCAGTAAAAAGAGGAATGGCCATTGGTAAGCAGCATTGGTAGCCATAATTTCTGCTTCACTCGTAATTTTTCTAACTACGCAAAATGTGTAACTTCCCTATTCCCTTTCAGATACTGGCTACTTGATATTGTCAGTTAAACAACATCCTGTTGGCTTAGCTCAAGCTTTACTGCCTCTGGAAAGCTTTCTCTTAACTTCAAATGTAGACTACTCCCTCAAGTTCTGTGCTTACAGGAAGCCTTTTCTATCCTTCTACTTCAATACTCATTACTGGCCCATTAAATATTTTTCCATCTCCAATTCATGGGACACTACTTGGTACCTTATAGTCACTCAAGGAATAGCTACTGAATAAATGAGTCTTCGGCAGTTTTTAAACTTCCATATTTCTTGTATTTGCTTTTATTTTCTTTTTTGTTATCACCAAAAGCAAGTAAAAGTGAATGTTACAGACAACCTCTTATTTTCTGAATGTTTTCATGCTTTTTTTCTGTTAATTCTCAATCTATTTTTCTACGTTACTCTTCTGGGATTGTAAACTCTTATGGATCACAAACTGATTACATAATTTTTACATCAACAGAGAAAGTACTTCAGGTTCCATCTTTATTAATTATATTGTTCTGGCTAGCTGGTGCCACTCTAACAGAAGATACCACAAATGAGATGCCCTAACAAACAGGAGTTTATTCTTACAATTTGGAGGCTTTAACTCCAAGTTCAAAGTGCCAGGCTGTAGGGGCTGGGTGAAAGTCCCTCAGCCTTGAGCTTCAGCTCTGCCTCTAGCTCCCGGCCCACTGAAGCTAGAGGAGTTTCTTCACTCAGAGAGCTGCTGAGGCTGAGAAGCCCAAGTTTGACAAATAAAATGGTACAGTCCCTAAGTTACCAAACCACAGGCAGGCCATTAATTTAAGTCCATTGTAGGTCCCAAGGGAGCTCTGGTAGCATAATGCCTAAGGCACTCGACCGCTAACCAGAAGGCTGGCGGTTAAAACCCACCAGCCGCTCCTCAGAAGGAAGATGGGGCAATCTACTTCCGTGGTGATACTGCCTTGGAAACCCAAGGAGGGGTCGCTATGAGTCGGGTCCGACTCGACAGCACATAACAACAACAACAACGTAAGTCCCAAGGTCAGCAGAGCATGACAGGCTGCTGAACAACATGGCTACGTGCAGGGTCCAAGCGTGCCATAGGCTAGAGACCATTCCCAAAGCTGCTGCTTATATATGGGGAGCAGACCACATACCCAAAGGCAGCTACTCAGCTGCTTGTGGTAGATCCTACCATGGAGTTGATTGCCAGTCTCATCATGGGGACTAACTACCACCAGCTGCCCAGCCACTCAACCAGGCCCAGCCAAGTTGACACACAAATATAACTACCACAGGAGGTGTGCTCCCTCCACTATATGCTGCAAAGCTCCTGCCCCTAAATGCATATTAACCTAGGATTTTTCCCTCTGAGTAGCTCAGCCTGTCTCACTGATTTGTGTCCTGTGTTCTACTAACAACAAGAAGGAAGTTTTAAGCAGCTTCTTTAAGTGGGAAGAATCGTCTCTCTTTATTGTGCTTCTACCCCCAATATGACCTCCTCTTCTACCCCATCCCAACAGGAACATAGATACATAAAGCTTCCTGTCTGTAAGTTAGTTAACCTCTCCTCAGTGTTGGATGGTCTCTCTGTTTCATAACTACTATCCTGAGTACTGCATCATCCCAGCACTGCACCTGAGTGGGCATTTAATAAGCACTTTTTGGTGCTGGTAATGATGGGTATTTATGCATACGAAGACCACTTTAAATAATCTGGGCTTACAAATTATTCATCCAATGGGATTTAGATAATGAGAACTCAGACAATGTGATCTTAATTTCCTGCATGTGACAAGTTGTACTGGGCAAACAAGAAAAAAGAACACAAAAACTAAAAGTTCTCTTCAAAACTGCCTACACAACAGCTCTTAAATCTGTGAACAGGAGCAATCAGTGTGTTTTCTGTTGCCATGAGGATGCAAACAGAGAAAAGAATACCAGAAAAATTTGTACCCTAAGGAGCTGGCATTCTCCTTGAAGAGGAAGGGCTTGTCATGACACTCAGTAGACCTCCCTGATGTCTTAGCAACAGTGGGAAAAAAGGATCCAAACTAGAGTTGATTGGCTTGAGTATGTTTAGTTTATTGGAGAGTTCGTAACAGACCAAAAATCACAAAATAAGCTGCTAAGGAAGTCACCTATAACACTGAATGTATTCAGATTAACTCTGCCTTGTTTCTGTCTCCATTAATAGAAATTAGACAGACTAGAAACTCCTTCTAGCTCCCCTGCCATTCCAGCTGGCAGCCAGGTCCTATGCATTTGATCTCACCATATCCCTTGCTTTTCATTCCCACTGTTCCTCTCGCTGAACTATTCAAGAGCTTTTCACTTGCCACCCAATCCCTAGGCTTTTGCCTCTCTGATACAACTATTGGTTAAATTACACTCTGTGAAGGGCATCATTCAAAACCCCAAAATTTTGTATATCATGTTCTTTTCCTCTCCCCCAAACCTTCAATGATTCCCTATCACTTAAAGAATTTGGTCCAAACCCTTATTATGGAACTCTTCACAGTTCTCTATGACCTGCTCCCAAATCACCTTTCTAATCTCATCCCAGGAGCTCTGGTAGCATAGTGCCTAAGGCACTTGACTGCTAACCAGAAGGCTG